TATTTCATCCTTTTTTTTAATATCATGCTGACAGGTGCTGGCATTCCCTTGTCACACTGTTTGTCTGTACCGCTGACATACGTGCCAAATAGCTATCTGCTTTGGCAGCAGTCTGAGCATGGCAGCAAAAAAAATACCCTGTGAAATAGTTAGGGCTTGTGTCACACTGTTTGTGTTCACAAATAAAGATTTTGGAGGCCGTGAATGTGATCTGATATCTGTAATGTAAGCTGTTTGGCAACTTCCAGCTCTAGTTTTAAGCTTGTTCAGTTACTCGTCATACTATTATATTTATATGAACACTTGTTAACTGTTCATCCACCTGAACACCACAGTCATCCAGTAAGTAAAGCTGGCCTCTGTAGTGTCCATCTCTAGTGACCTGCCATGATGAAAGGTCAGTATTGATTTGCACTCAGCTAGTGTGGCTTCAGGGACTCTATTGATGCAGCTCGTTCCTCTGAACACAACAGGTAATGTCTGTCCGGCTGTATCAGGAGCTCTGTTGATCTACTTCTCCGAGCGCAGCAGGAAGTGTCTGGCACGTCTGGCTGCGCTGAGAGCTCCCTGTTGCCATGCCACCTCCATGCTGTCTGGACGCTGGCACTGATGGATGCTAGGAGTTCAGCTCCTGCCTTAGGGGCAGAGGGAGAGGAGAGAAGGAGACTGATTAAAGAGAAGAGAGAGCAGCTCAGATATATAAGACTTAGAGTTCAGACGATCATTGGGTTAGGGAGTATATTGTTGCTGTCTTTTATTTTTTTTTTAAAGATGACCAAATGGTTCTTTGGAATGATGCCAAAGAACAAACACACTTGGTTCCATTAAAAAAAAAAATTCAGTTGACGGTTCTTTTAAAACAAACTCAATTGAAACCAATCAGTTGAAAGGTTTTTAGGGAACCGAAAGTGGTTCTTTTATGGCATCACTCCAAAGAACCCCTTTTGGCACCTTTTACATCTAAGGGTGTATGACAACCTTGTAAGGCCTGTTTTTATTTTTAAACATAGGGGCTCTTTATATTGTCTGACCATTTTGTGATCAGTAGCAGTGGTCCAGAAATACTAAGGGGGGAAATGTTATGTTCAAGGACATAAGAATTAAGATTTAACATTCAAAAATATAGGCCTTTTTACAGAGGCAGTAGTATCAAAGTGCATCAAACCGTGCCATTAATTCCTGAGTCCATACTGTCCATACATGGAAAGTAAGCTGCAAAAACGGCCAGTTTTGAATCGATTGTTCTTGTTTTGTAAAATGAACACATTTACATATATCCCCCATTCAATCTAGAGCAGTTTAGCCCTGCCCATTCACACTGTTGTGTTTCGGCCTGGACTGCTTTTTGAAGCAGCCAGTCACAACAGAGACCATTCACATATATCAGTCTCAAAGACACAGTAACACAAAACAACCTGTTTAAAGAGAGTTTGGAAAATGGTCATGTAAAAATGAATTATGGCTGATTTTGGTACATAAACCCACTTAAATATCATAGGTGGACCTCATGGGGGGAAAAATAATAAAAAAAATACAAGGCAAATGTCAGATCTGAGTCCTTTAATGAGAGCTAGGATCACTGGTTATTTATTACAAGAATGCTGAGTCACTGTTTGTTCTCATTTGTAATGCAAGAGTGACAAGGCCTACTGAAAACTAGGCTTAGCCTACCCACTAAATCCCTAAGTCTGGAATCCTGTAATCATGTTAAAAACTAATGATATTGCAAAATCAGACTGATGTGCTTGGTCCGTGACCTTATTTGCTCTGTAGCTGAAACTTAATGAAATGACAAGATAGACTGGGACAATGACTCCAGAGCTCTAGGGATGGAGCCTAATTAGAGCTATAGCAACAGAGGTTAGGAGAGGCCCTTGGAAGGTCATCCTTGGCCCACTTTCTCCCCTCCCTTCTCTTTGCCCCCCTCTCCTGCCATCTGGATGTCTGTGTCTGTCTCTAGCCCTTACATCTGGTGGTGTTTGGGTTTGCTTGTCGTGGGTTTTCACAAAACGATTCTATAAACTCCCAATAAAAAAGCTTTAAAAAAGGGTCGACTTAAAATTCTGGCCATTTCTGCCACCAATTAATTAAAAAATTTGTGGCCAGAACTATAGAGACCTTTTGTAAAAATATAAATTGTATTTACAGTTAATAAGCATGCTTCAGTTCCAAAAAAGTGAGGCGTTGCTTTGAGAGAGGTCATTTTTACAAGGGAGTAAAAAATTAACATTAGAAGTTACAAAAAACTTTTTTACATCATTAATAAAAACATTGCTGGTTTTCACATTTGCCCAATTAAAAAAACCCTGATTTGATGCTGTTAGTTCCACTATTGACAGCTTGATTTAAAAACAATGATTTTATTAAAAGGCAACATTGATGAATGTATAAAAATGAAACTGGTCTGGTGGTTTGTTTAAAAGAGGAAAAAAATGCCAAAACATGTCCATGAACCATTAAACCATGCAAAGAACTACTTAAGCATTCACATTTTTCTTTGATTTGTTGTTGTTGTTCTTTATAGCCATTGGCTTTGCTGAAGAACCCTTGAATAAGATCCCTTTAAGGACATATATTATGAGGTTGGTGTGTTTTATGTGCATGTTAATGTCTCTTGCAGGGATTTTTTCTTTTAGACTGGCATGTTATGTTACGTATAGACACATCTGGCTGTAAAGGACAGGATGACTGAACACTGGCACTGATAGATAATGCCTCCCTATCTGTCTCTTTCCTTCTGTCTACTTCGTAAATAAAGCAAACAGTAGGGAAGCATAAACCCAAACTGGCCCAAAGACAGCAAGCCCAGTTTCAGACGTAATGATATTGCAATACATGCTTGGATGCTTTGGTGACCTCTATCTGACCGCAGCATAGCCTGCTTAGGTTTTTGCACAAGTCTCCACTGTTCATGTAAGCTGCTTTTATGGTGCCTTAATGAAATATGCAATATTGTTGAATCTTTTAGTCTGCATACAAGCTTTTGCCTTATTTGTTCCTCGTTGTTTGTGTGCATCTTTGCTCCCAGAACACCCTGTGCCTGGCAAGTGCATCATTACTTCTGCATATTACTATTAAACCACCTGCTGGTGTCCTGTCAGACCTTTGACCTTCTAGGCTGGCACACCTAACCGTGAGGTGGATCTGGATCAGGCAAATATTCCAGTCAGCTCTCCCCAGTGAGTCCTGATTGATGTTTTGTGTTTATGTCTGACAGTCACATCTGGTCATTAAATTACATCATCCAGTGCCAGAGAATAGTAGATATGTAGAGACACTACACCAGACTAGTTTCAGAGTTTGGCTATTTATACTCTGCATAGAGTTTCTCAAACTTGCTCTCGTCCTCATTTATGTAAGGTAATAGTAAAATGTGAATAAACATCTAACTTCAGTACAATTTACTCATGAATATATTTTCAAATTGTACAGTTCTTGACCATCTTATGTTTTTGCATTAAAATATTTTGTCAGATTTGTAGTATTTGGCATTATTTAGATTTGGCAGTATCATTCACCCAAAGCTCATAGCCTTTTTCAAACAGGACTCTGTCATTTTGCCAGTTTGGGTTCTGTTCAGTGCAAATGTCATGACATTTTACCAGAAGTGCTTTTTCCAGTTAGCATGAACGGTTGCAGAATTGAGCATGGGTACTTGAATTTTCTTACAAGTTCCTTTTGTACTTTTCTGAGAGACATCTGGGCAGCTCTCCAACAGCTGAGCTCACTGACTACACTGTAGTCCAGAATAAAATAGTGATGGCAATCAGTGCCTTACTGTAATCGGTATGGAAAGAAATTGTTTGTTTTCTTTTCCTGTTGAACCCGATGAGAGGCCAAAGAAATTATTTCAACTTTCCTGACATTGAAATTGAATGATGAAAGACAAACATATTAAATCTGATTATTATCTGACGGGGGGTTGTGCTTCTACAAGGCCAGAGCAACAGTTATAAGTGTGTGTGTGTGTGTGTGTGTGTGTGTGTGTGTGTGTGTGTGTGTGTGTGTGTTTTGGTCCACTTTGACTTTTGTCGGAAGGTTGTTTTGCAGACAGTAGACAAATGACTTATGATGCAGGCTCTGTGTTGCTGCCCACTGCAGAAAGCAATAGGGTGCCTCAGGGCTCAGTATTTGGCCCGTTCACTTTTTGTAATTCCAGATGTTTTAACAATCAAACCACTTTCAAAATGTATCTTCTTCGTAGTACATTTATATCTTTGACTTCACTGACGTGCTGTCCAGGGTGGTTTCACTGGTGATTTGAACAGAGCCCTTGTTTTGTAGGAATGTCACTTTACACTCCTGTCCCTTTCACTTCTGCACCCTTCTCCAATGCCAAGGGGAGGTCTTTCACCTCATCCTGTGATGGAGTGGACGATTGCTCAAGGTCCTTCTCGGTCAATGTTTAATCTGCTACGTGATGGCTGTGACCGCGTTGCCTTGTGATGGCAGATTACCGTCTGGCTTAAAATGTAGTCCCACAATGAACAATGCACCTCGCAGAAATGTTGTAGGAATCCATACTGGCATAGTCCAAGGTTTCTGTAGGTGCGTACATGTGCATCCACATAAAGTTACCCTGAAAAGCTTGCTTTGTACTGCTCACCAGTCAGATTTATTTTTTCCTGTTAGCCATGCGTACCCACATTACATCTGTCCCAAGTACAGGCGATTTGTAATTGACTGTTTGTTTCTAATTATAATTTCCTTTAATGCTTTGTTCCTTTAGCACTGTTGGCAGTGAGTTAGCACTAGGACATCATGTGCTTCCGTTTTTGCATGCGTGAGGAAGAAGCGTGCAAGGAAGGCTTAAATAATTCATTATAACGTGGACAGTGAGATATTTGTGACATGCTCAGATGTTCAGATATTCCATGACACGCATTTGTGTGCATACTCGTGTGGGTGTCTAAACATAAAATGACAATAGAGCATGCACTGATAATTGTTCTCAGTTTACAGAAGCTTGTCTGCTAATACAGTGTGCTACTGTGTTGCAGGGTGAGGAGGGGCCTCCCAGTCTGGAGTATATCCAGGCCAAGGACCTGTTCCCACAGAAAGAGCTGGTCAAAGAGGAGGAGGGTCTGCAGGTGAGTTCATCCTGTTCTCTTCGGTTGGATAACCCCAACCTGCACAACCACAGTTTCCCAGGATACCTGTTAATGCTTATCTGTGAGGATATTTTGCAGCAACTCTTCTGGTTCGTCTGCTGTGAATGGCTTCTTAAGCGTGGTGTTGACCAAGGTGGCTTGTCACATTCTTGGTAGAAATAGGTTGAGACACATTGTGTCCATGTCAGAACCCAGAACCCGCACGTACAGGGACTTTGTAGCTCTGTATGGGTTGTGTGTGTGTGTGTGTGTGTGTGTGTGTGTGTGTGTGTGTGTGTGTGTGTGTGTGTGTATCATGATAGCTATTAACAAGTGCTCTTTTGTGGAGCTGTAGTGGACAAAAAGAAAGACAAATGGAACAATAAAAAGAATTTGAGTATAAAAGAAAAGCAACAAGATTTGTGGGAATCAAGCAGAATCATTTCGCATAGGTTAGGTTGTGTTCAGTTATGAGAAATCTCAGTAAAACTTTACTGTAGGGTGCTGTTTATAAGGCTACATGACACCTACCTTGTCACACATGACATGTACCTTGTCATGACAACTGACATAACCCTTACATAAATGTTTATAAATGCTAATTTCAATAGGCGCCATCTGTCATAAAGACTACTTTAGCAAACTGTGATCAAACCTGTCAAATGTAACCTTTATAGCGTATGACGCCTATTGGAATAAGCATTTATAAACGACCTGCCTCTAGGCAATCTTTAGACAGTTTTCTATCAGCTGTCAGCCCACACTAGCGACGGCTTATACAGCTCAGCCAATTACATGGACTGGATTAGGTAGCCAGACAGAGAGAGCAAGAGATGGAGTTTTTGGAGAGTGGAGGTGAAACAATGCAGTAGAGGGTAAAAAAAGAGAAAGTTGTGTCAGAAGGGGTGTTGGAAATAGACCAGGTCAGGTCCTCACCAAGAGTGATTAAAACAGCAAGAAAGAAAGACAGACTGATCATTAGGAAGAGAAGTGTGAGCCTAGCTTTGGACTTGGTCCAAGCAGTGATCTCATGGCTTAGCAAGGGAACTGCAGGGCTTTGCATTCCAGAGCAGCTCTATGGAGCACGCAGAGCACTCTCAGCTCACAGCTCCTGACACGGCCTGACTGGGCAGCAACACAGCGTTAAATGACTTCTACTGGTGACTGATCCTCAGGAGGTTTTCAGTAACAGAATAAGTACATATATACAGTCCTCGGCAGAAGCTTGGGCAACTGGTCAGATTACATGTTTTGTTGATTTTCTAAATAAGTTTACACCCCTTACAGAGAATACACTTCTGCACTATTTTAATGCACAAACATTGTTTATTTCCTGAATTTAACATACTAAGGAAAAATAAAACACAAATGTGGCTGTGCAGAAGTTTTGGCACATTTTATATTTTCTGTTCTATTTGTTTTCTAATATTATATGGTCAAATACATAGAAAAATGCAGCATAAAAATGCACCATACATGACGGTACAAATTGTACATTTTCTTCCTTGGCCAAGGAATAATTTGCACATAGTTGGGTAGAGTTGTACAAGAATAGTATTAATAGATCCCTAAAACATGAAATATAGTCTAGTTTGGCAAGTCTGTGAGAAAGCCTAAAGAGTTATGGTTTTGTCTGCAAATTTCTTGAATATGGAGCTCTTGCTGGTTTCCTCATCCATAATACAACAGATGAACGGGCATGTCTGAGTCATGTTTTTTACTGTGCCCTATTTAGTGGTTCAATGTCATATTTTAATAAAACCCTAAAATCATGTTTGTGTGCGCAGAAAATGTCATCGTTTTAACCAAGCAAGAGGCATTTTAGTTTGTTTGATGGTCATGGTAATGAAACACTGCTTCTCAACATCCCTTGACGTTGCCAGTAAGGATGGTCGATATGGCAAACCTGTCATCATGTAGGGGTGGGCGATACAGCAAATATATGAACGATGTGTCTCAATGTTTATTTTTGTACATCTGTTAAGTTGGAATAGACGAAGAAGAACCAGTGGTGCCACGTTTAAAAATAATTTTATATACAAAAGCATTTCACATATAGCACTGCAAACTAAGTCAAATTTAAGAGGCCTAATTATGCTCCAGAAGTTCCAGAAGTAGTGATGTTCACAATGTGACATGTTGTGTTGTACTTTATCACAGTAACTCTAAATATGGTTATATTGCCCAGCCCTAACATAAAGATACTTAGATATTCACACAACACACATTTATCACAGTGTTCATTTTTCTTAGGTTTTCAAACAAGCTGAAATAGACAAGCTGAAATAGACACATGCTACGTAGCGGCGCATTTTTAAAAGGCTGGGGAAAAGAATAAAGGGAAAATCAAGCAATTGGTAAAAAATTTAAATAAAAGAGGATAATGGCATAATAGGCTACCACCCAGTCAGCTACTTGTTAATGTGCATTTTAGGCAATTATTATACTCTAGTTGTTTACATCCATCCATCCATCCATCATCTAAACCGCTTATCCTTCTGGGTCGCGGTGGGGTGCTGGAGCCTATCCCAGCTGTCATTGGGCGGAAGGCAGGATACACCCTGGACAGGTCGCCAGTCCATCGCAGGGCAGACAGACAGACATACACATTCACACCTAGGGGCAATTTAGCACGTCCAATTGGCCTGACTGCATGTTTTTGGACTGTGGGAGGAAACCAGAGTACCCGGAGGAAACCCACGCAGACACGGAGAGAACATGCAAACTCCACACAGAAACGACCCTGGTCACCCGGCCGGGAATCGAACCGAGGCCCTTCTTGCTGTGAGGCGACAGCGCTACCCACTGTGCCACCATGCTGCCTAGTTGTTTACATGTTCTCTATAATTGTTGTGAATTTGTCTTTATTTTATGATGCATCCTGTTGTTCAGTGCTCTTGTAGTGCCCATTATAGTGGTAATCTACTCAGGAAAGCATTTCCTGACGTAAGTTATTCCATCATTTTGATTTTAGTCAGTAGCATTTCAAAGAAAGTGACGTGTTCTCACTCTCTGAGTGCATCAGTAGCATTTTAGGCCATAGATTAGCTTGGCCTCCTACTGCACCACACTTTTAAAGAGCTGGCTTTGTAAGCGATAGCATTCTGGTTTGTCTTTTCCTTGTCCCTGATCAGTTTCCCTAGATAAGAAGTTCCTTTTTTAAATCCGGGGTCTGTGTTATTCTGTCATCAGCAGCGCTGGCTGTTTTTCCTCCTTCTGTTATTGCAGGTTTATTTGAATGATGGTGCCATGGTGTCCGGAGTAGATAAGCATAATAGCAGGCTTCATGTTGGTATTATAAGGAAGAGTTAGTGATGGCCTTTGTTGAGGGCTGGATGCATTTTTCATTCGTTAGTTGAGAAAGGAGATCAGTACCACACTGAGTAGGGAATTTCTGTGTTATTGAAGTAAAGAAATGCTTTTTGAAGTTCACCAAATGACAGTCTCTCTGTCAGTCTGTCAGCAGCCTGCTGCAGCAGGAACTCTTTGACTGTCTATTCGTCTGGCTCTCCCTGCTTGGTTTTACCCAGCAGTCACTATCTGTCCATGGGGCTTACTGTCTACTCTAGCTGTCTAATTAGAACTAAGTTTCTGTCTGTCTGTCTGTCTGTCTGTCTACCTTTGTTGCTTGCTGTGCGTAGGAGCCATTGAGGTTCTCTGTATTTTCCTGACAGTAGGAGCTGTTGCCTCTCTGAGGTTTGTCATGATACCAGAATTTAGACATTGATACTGATATGAAGTGGAGTGTCACCAAAACGATGATGTTAAGTCATCGTCTGAACACCCTGTGTTTCTTAGATTCAACACAGGGAAATATTCCAGTTGTTATAGCTTAATTGGTATTGAATGTAGCATATAGGCTAGTCACAGTTATCAAATACTCACAATTATTTGAGCTGTCTACAGTTATTTTCCACACAATCTTATGTGTACATCCCAACAAATAGTACATGAATTGGGTGCGTTTTCAACCTTTAGGTTGAGGCAAATTCATTCAAATGACAGAAAGCAGAAAATGCGTTTATCGAGACATGATCTTACAAAAACAACAAAAGTTCTAACTTCTAACTGGTGCTGTAACGTGTAGAAGACGGTGGTGAGTGATAATGTTTGTTTATTTGACCTGTTGTCACTTGGGAGCTCCCAAGTATCGAGAGCTAGGAAGCACTGTGGCTGCTTTAGGCTTGTTTACATAGTGTTTACACACAATGAACAAAGGCAGTTCAATTTTTAATCACAGTTATTTAAAGCGTAATTAGCAAACACACATGCACTGTGGTTTATACATGATGCTTATTATCTTAGTCAAATTAGCATGCAGAATTAGATTTGTCTGTAGATAAAACTTCAATGCTGCCCATTTAAATAATCGAACATGTCCACACTAAGAGTATCGAATTGTTTACCATGATGTAGTTTTGAAAAAGCGTCTTGCTTTCTGTTGCCATGCCTGCAGCTCTGTAGACTGCAGACAGTACTAGCTGTCTCCAGAATCTCACCTGATCCCTTGGTAGCTTTTGGGGCTTTCATGGCTGCTCAGGCGTCCTCTATTTAGACTCCAGCTCCATGAAAAATGAATGTGCTTTTTTCCGCAGATCAGTGTTACCACCAGGGTCACCAAAACAGCGGCACAAATGAGACGGCAGCTGCTCTTAGAGGACAACACAGGAGACATTAACGTCATCTCTCTTTTCCTGTTTGGTTTTATGAGGCGTAAATCTTTGTCAGTATCCTCCTTGTACCTTTATTCTTATGCAGGGCATTTTTACCCAATGAAATGGGGTGGAACGAGATTGTGCCAATCTTTGTTTTAGAGCTCATCCTTGTCCTTTTACAGTAGATTTCGACGTGCACCATTAACAATGTGGAATGGGCCATAAATATCTCTCAAACACATCTCTGAGCATAAATCTCCTCAGTACAAGGGTGTTCTGCTGTCCCACTCAAAGGCCACAGTAATTACTCATTGAAGGCATTCTCAGGTAAAACATTGTCATGAT